TAAATAAATAAAACAATGAAAGGGTTTTTATTTTTTATTATTATTTATTTTACTGAAAATTTACATAGAGACTTTGGATTTCCGTTGCACTTTTCAAGAATTTTTTTTAAAGTGGATGGATGGATGGATGAGTGGATGGGAGTGAATGGATAGATGGATGAGGTTTGAGTGGAGGAGTAGGTAGCTGGCTGACTGGGTAGGTAGTTGATTGAATGGATAGATGGTGGATGGATGAGTGGATGGAGAGACAGGTGGGCAGATGATTGGCTGAGTGAGAGGAGGAGTAGATGGTTGACTGAAGGGGTAAATAGGTAGATGGGTGAATGAGAGGGTAGCAAGATGGATGGATGGATGGATGGATGGATGGATGGATGGATGGATGGATGGATGGATGGATGGATGAGAAAGCTGAAGAGCAGGTGGATCGATGATTGGTTGAGTTGGTGGAGGGGTTGGTGGAAAGATGGTTGGATGAGTAGGTGAAGAAGTAGGTGATTGCCTGTGTAGGTAGAAGAATATATTTATAGGTGAATGGATGGACTGATGCACATCTAGAATGAAGGGGACCATTTTGAGGGTTCAGACACTTGCCTTCAAATCACTGAGGAGGGGGAAGCTTTCAGGGCTCCTCCTCTAGTCTGGACCAACCAATGGGGTGGCTGCTGCTGCTGCTGGAATGCTGTCTCTCCTCTATGTCTTTCTTTTACCCACCAAACTCTCTTAACAAAATGCAATAGGCCTCCTGGGGCAAGAGAAAGAACCAGCATTCATTCCTAAAGGGAGACTTTGCATGAACAGATGCAGCATCCTGCAGAGAAAGGCACCTTCCTGGGACATCAACGACTTGAGTTCAGGTCCCTTGACATCTGGCCACTGGTTTCCACACCTGTCAGGAGCTGTGTGATTCTCAGGAGGCACCAAAGAAGCAACTTTTTGTACCTTACCAGCACAGACCTAGCAGGATGGACTGAGAGATGTGTAGTAGTTGTTGTTAGATGTTGTCAAGTTGACTTGGACCACAGTAAGCCCATGTACAATGGAATAGAACTGCCTGGTCTTGCATCTCCCTGTGATTGGCTGTGAATCAGAACATTGTGAACCATAAGGTTTTCATTGGCTGATTTTCAGAAGTAGATTTCCAGGCCTTTCTTCCTAATCTATCTTGGGTTGCTTCAACTGAAACCTGTGTGATAGCCTAGTGACACTCAAGCCTCTACTGTTGGACAGGTGGTGCTTCACTCATTTTTCAAATGAGTTTGAGATTCAAGGAGGTTAACGTATTTGCCTGAGACCTCATGGATTTGACTGTCCTGGATCCTGACCGTAAAGGATTTTTTTTTTCTCTCATGCTGGCCACCAGGGATGAGAGTGGATGAGATGAAGGCTAAGGCCAGAGTGAAGTGAGAGAAGGTAGACTGGGCAGCTGAGCGTATCCAGGGATCGGTAGAGGTCCTATGTCCAGCCAGCCTCAGCTCTGGAAGCTGATAGGTGGGGCCGAGTTCTCAGCTGCCCCCTCTCCTCAGTTATCCCCTCATACGAAGCCCCTCTCACACACATCCCTGTTAACTGGAATCTATGTCCACAGCATGTTGTCCAGCCTGAATGAATGGCTGTGGCAAGGGAAGTTCTGGCTGCCCTCCACCTATACTTGGGTGGACCTGGAGGACCAAGATGGTGTGGTCTACCCCCAAACTCGAGACCTGCTGGCAGTCCTGCCAATGACACTGGTCCTGCTGGCCGTGCGCATGTCCTACGAGAGGTGAGTGTCCCCTCCACCACAAACATGTGACTCCATCAGCTATGTACCTCCTGCAGA